GGCACTGCTCCAACACTACTACTGGCACTGCTCCAACACTACTAAAAGCACTGCTGGCACCAGTATGCTCCTCAGCAGATGAGAATAGACGTAGGTGACCCAGGCTCTAACCCTGAACACACAGCTGTCCCAGCTGGTCTGAGGAGGCCAGGAGCTCCACCTCCGGCTACTGTACCTCTTCCTCTGGGAAAGAGCCTTGGCCATCTCCGCGTGCAGGCTGGGCGATCCCGAGGCTCCAGCGGGAGATACTGGACATCGCCAGGAGCTGTCGGGATACTGGAGAGGAGAAATCGTTCCATCGGTCACTGCAGACCTCTCCCTTCACCTCCCACTGTAGGACCATTGAGACACACACACACATCCAGTATATACACACAAACATACACACATACAGTATATACACACATCCAGTATATACACACATATATACACACATCCAGTATATACACACATATATACACACATCCAGTATATACACACAAACACACACATACAGTATATACACACAAACATAGCTCGCGGATAAAGCATTTCATTGTTGACAACACTGCTGTCTGCTGTACTGTTCGCGCATTGATCAATAAATAAACCTTGAACTGTATATACACATAAACATGCACACCCATACACACACTGCACTCCATACACACACAGTGCCAGAGCCCAGTCCTGTAGGGACCACGCGGCACCGGATTCCTCTGCAGGAATGAGCTGACCAGGTGGCCAGGCAAGTGCTTAAAAAGCAGGAAGCAGGGGCCCCCAGGGGCCCCAGGGGCTCCAGCCACTGCCGCCCTGTCGGCTGTCTGCAGGGCAGGGAGTCGGGTGCAGAACCCCTGTGTGCCCTTCACAGGGGAGAGAAGGGCTGACTCTGCACCAAGCAATGTGAGTGTGGGCACAGTCTGAGTGAGACTGTTTCAAAGACTTTGTGAGAAACTCCGTTTTCTTGGAGGCTGGTGAGCAGTTTAGCTGCTCGGCTACCCTAGTTAGGGACTTTCAAGAAGACGTTTACTCAGCAGTTCCAAAAAGAGCTTAGAGAATAAAGAGCACATGAGAAAGTGAAACAGGAAACCCTGTAGAACCTCAGTAAGGCCTACCGTGGCACAATATACTCTTCCAAAACATCCTTTCACCTTCTAGGCACTGCAGGCAAACAGTCACAGAATACGTCATGAAAAATGATAAATTAAAATCAAGAGATGTTCTGTTAAGATTGTATAAGAAGCACGTACTGTATCACGTAAAACTCTGCACACAGTTTGGATCACAAACAGGCTGAAGCAACCGAGTCTCTTCACTCTGAAGGGAGGGGACTGTGAGGGAAAGCTCACTCTGTGCACGACTCACCATCAGGCATGTCCCGAGACCCTAACTCGAGATTCCTGAAGTCCAGACTGACTCCCCTGGCACCCAACTCCATTTCAAAGGTCAGGGGGTTGGCGGCCTAGTTTATTTAGGATCAGATCCGTTTTGTCATCTTTCAAGTCAGTGCAGTTTATTTGTCATACAGTGTGCACAAGTGCAAGGAAATGCTTACTTGTACTGTACGTGGGCTCCGATAACAGAATCGCCAAAAACACAAACGCACAACAGCAGCAGCCACAAAGTTAAAATACCACACAACTAAAACATAATCAGTGCGAGTCAGTGGTGGGATTGGGGTTTAGTCATCGGACAGCTTGTGGGAAGAAACTCTGACTCTGGAGGTTCGGGCCTTTCTGCTCCTATAGCGCTGACCAGAGGGAGGGGGAGAACAGGGAGAATCCAGGACGACTGGTGTGCTCAGCGATGCTCCCAGCCTCCCTGAAGCAGCAGGTTGTAAACTGTCCACAGGAGAGGGGGGCTGTAGCCCAGTGACGGACTGGGCTGAGCTGACCACCCCCTGTAACACCTCCCGGTCAGACAGCGGGCTGCTGCCAAACCACACTGTAGCCCCACTGTTAGTGAAAATCGGGGCGACAGCGGGGCAGTTGTCGTGGGAACCAGCTCGCCACTCCAGGGCCCAGTATGGTCAAAGACAAAAGGAGCGCACACGGACCCCCCGCGAGAAGAGCATGGTCACGGGAGGCGCTTCTTTACACAGAGGGTGGTGGGAGAGTGGAACAGCCGGCCCCGAGCATGCGCGGGCCGGTCTCCGAGCTGACAACTGCGCCTCGAGACAACCGGTACGGCCGAGGCAATCTCACTCTTTTCCCGCATTATTATTATTATTATTATATTATTATTAATGCCACTTTCATAGACCGTATCAGTATTCCGACTCCGCACACGCGAAAGGCAATACAAATGACGCACCAGCCTGCGGGACTCGATCATGG